AGGCTGGACGCTTTAGCTGCTGTTTAAATGATGTTGTTAATCAGGAGCTTTTACTGTTTAAGTCGTACTTTTTCACTATCTTCAAAGTTCTTATCATTATCGTTGCTGGGCTCCGAATCTGTAGTCTCCGTTGTTGAGCTGTCGGTGGTAGCGCTGGAATCGTCATCACTACTGCGACTGTAAATGGGCTTTGAATTGCCGCGCACATAGTCCGCCGTAATGTGTACGCTGCGTATATCTGATCCAGGCACTATGAACATGGGATCCAACAGCAGTTGCTCCTGTCGTATAAACAACAAAAGGCATTATTATTGTGATCATGATTGAAATTATTAGATCCGTTAACTAACCATTATGGAGCGCAGTCCACGTGCACCAGTATGCCTTTCCATGGCTAGACTTGCAATTGATTCAACCGCATCTTCCGTAAACGATAAGTCCACCTCGTCGAGGCCAAGCAGCGCTTTGTATTGAGGCACGAGAGCATTGCGTGGTTCGGTTAGAATACGCACTAGCATATTCACATTCAAACTATGGAAGGGCACAATGACCGGAAAACGACCAACGAATTCCTGTAGAGTAATCGAGTGTAATTAATTAATATAGATATATCATACTGTTTTAATTGTTGCTACTAACGGGTATCATGCCAAACTCAACGAGATCACGGGCCTGCACTTTGGTCAGGCATTTATCACGCTCCTCCTGATCGTTATCCATTGGACTGGCTGTTGATTGCGCCGCTCGACGGCCCGAGCCGCTCGTCGACGGCATGCCAAAGCCCAAATACTGTGCAAAAGAGTTGGGATTAATATATGATTACAAACGTAGCTGCTGGTCGAGCTCACCTTTTCATTTAGTCGGCGGGCAATAAGACGATCGAGGCCCGTGTAGGCACCAGAGGCAACAAAAAGTATATTCGTAGTGTCCACCTGCACTGTTTCGCCTCGCAGCTTACGCGGCGAGTTGCGCTCGGGCACATTGACCACAGTCCCTTCCAGCATCTTTAACATACCCTGCTGAACACCTTCACCGCCCACGTCGCGCAGCTGATGTATGCCAGGCACGGCGCCAATTTTATCCACCTCATCCAAGAACACAATGCCGGTTTGAGCACGCTCCACACTGAAAAAGATAGGGATATACTATGATTAGTTATCATCTAGGTAAAAGAACAATTTACTTGTAGTTGGCGTCCTGTAGCAACTTGGATATGACACTCTCAATGTCCTCGCCCACGTAGCCGGCCTGGGTGAGCGTTGTGCAATCGCAGATGGCAAAGGGCACATCCAGACAGCGGGCGATTGTCTGTGCAATTAACGTTTTGCCAGATCCCGTCGGGCCGAGCATAATGATGTTGCTCTTCTCCAATTTAACATCGTTACTTTGCCTGTCTAGTATCTCGGAGCCGGGACGATGATCGCTGCTCCGTGAGGCGTTGGCAGCGTTGCTGTTGTGCAGGCCGCTACCTAGACCGCCACCAGTCAGACCGCCGCCGAGGCCCATTTGGGCTGGTTTTGGCGGCAGCTCGTTGCCAGGACTGCTGTTCAGTGTGTGACCGATGCCGGTGATGTGTAGCAGATCCGTGCGTGGTATGCCGTCCAGTCCGCCCCCAGAGCCGCCCGCACTGGGCTGCTGCTGCAGCTGTGGCAAATTGTGATGGATGCGCTTATAATGATTGTACACGGCCACCGCTAGCACCTTCTTGGCAAAGTCCTGACCAACCACATGCTTATCCAGATATTCCATGATCTTCTGCGGTGGCGGCGGTGGCTTACGCTGATTCTTTGGCTCCTCCTTGATACGCTGCTTGGTTTCCACATCGGAGAGCACCACAAAGAAGTAGTTGCACTTGGCACACTTCACAAACCGCGTTGAGCTGACAAACGTTTCCACTTGGGTGCACGCACTGCCACATTTCGGACAGGATAAAAACTTATCGCCACTTCCGCCAGTTGTGGTTGAGCCGCCACTGCCGCCAAGACTCGACCCACCACTCCCCGGTGGTTTGGATGCGCCACTTGGACCATTGATGTCGCCGCCCTTGTCGGTTCCTGTCGTTCCACTACTGCTGTTGCCGTTTCCGGACTCCGATCTGATTCTCACTCCATTCGTTATGTCAATGTAGGCGGGTATGGCCACAACGGGCTCCAGCAGTAGCTGCCCATTGGCGGCGCATTGCTGAGTGGCCAGGTGAAATCGTCGCCGTCCAAGCCCAGTGCTCAGTATTATGCAGTTCGGTGTATGTTGTACGTGGCTGGTTCCTAAGGCAGTGATGAACAGAAAAAGAGAAGTTAATATATGTATAAGTTCTATTATTCAAAATGCAAAAGGCGATGCATAAACGTGAACTTGATTGGTGGCAAAGCACAGTTTAATCCGCATTTGCACATATGTATATAAATTATATATTTATACATCAATTCAAAGGAACAATTCAAAAGTATTTTATCTAATTATTTCTTCTGGTTATTTCCTTTAAGCATTTCGTTATAATTATTTCCTCCTGAAGAGGAGGAGCACTGTACGACTGTACGACTGATCCAAACCAGGCCTGGGCGACTGAGGAACTGCTGCAGCTGCTGCCCCTAAATATAGGCGACTTTCACTCAAACTCTAAGTCGCACTCAAATTTTTGAGCCCAGTGCCAGGTAGGATTTGTTGCAGTCGAGCTTTAAGGGACCAATGGGAAAAGTCTCTGTGGCCTCAAGCATACTAGCTTCGTTTTACTTATATATAAATAACAAATCAATACTGCTCCATACATATAGACAACTCAACCGATGTTCTTTAGTTATTGTTCTTCTTCATTTTCAACGGATGTACTACCAGTAGGCTAAATCTAGCCTGAAATAGGCTAAACTGGCAACACTGCAATTAGCAGCTACGTATATATAAAAAAAAAAATAAATAAAGTGACTCAATTCAATTAGAACCTGCAGAAACTCAAGTTCACGGAAAAACGATTCAGATTTAAAATAAGTAATAAGAAGACTAGATAACGAATTCGACAAGTGATTTATATTACTGCGGTAAAGGCTCCACAAAGGGATTTTTAATATTAAAATAAATTAATGCAAATTTTTATAAATTTACATATTGAATTAGTCATGTCAAAGGCCAAATTAATAAAATATAAAAAATAAATATATAAATACTTTATTAAAGCGCGTATTCGTCAGTAGAGCTTTCACTGTACTTTACTATATGAGCGCAACTGAAAGTAAACATTAACTTGAACCGACTCTAGCAATTTACATTTATATAATTGGCCTTTCTGCACTTCCGAAAAACCATGCGTAGATTTCCTTATGGCCCGGCACTAAAAAAAAAAAAAAGAGTTTATTGCCGGCTACTGCTACGAGAAAAACTTTTGCCATTACACCATAGGCAAAGTCTGTGACAAGCAAACAAAAATAATAAAACATACAATTTTTCGACCGAGCGACCAACCGATCATTGCGTCAAAAGCTGTAGCTGCGATAATTAAACCTCGACCATATTTAAAAACAATTCAAGTTCAGTTCAAAATCGTAAACAAGAAATCGCAACAGCAGCAACAATAACAATAACATCAACAACAACAACAATATTCAATCATCGCAAATACGATACATGCTACGTTGTCTGATTGGCATAACGTAATGACTATGCGTCGTTGACCTTCGACAAAGGCTGTTTGACATGAATTTAAATCACATAACCGAATACGAGTTAACTCCAAATCAATGACTCCATTGGCGCGCGTCTAATTTGTTAGTCAAACACACAACCTTCAATAATAGTTAAAAGTGAGTGTTCGGCTAATATAGCAGAATTTTATACGAAATTCTGATAAGCGCGCAGTATTAGACTTATTGCTTATATTGTTTTTGCTGCTTTCGGCTGCTGCGGCTGCTGCTACGTGACGCAAATGACGCAGTTACGTATACGATTTTAGACAGCATTCGTACAATTGATGTATTTGTATGTTCGCGAGAAATGCATTTTTAGCTTACCTTTTGTCCAAATTTTATATTTTGGAGCCAGCAATATTATACGCCGTACCATACTCATTATAAAGCGCTGCTGTTGCTGTTATTACGGAAATCTCAGCTGGCGGGTCGGCTTGCACACACACACACACATACACACAACGCTCTCTTCTTCTTCTTTCTTCTACTGTTCGGGGGCTGCGGGTACTGCTGTTGTTGCCAGTCTGTTCTGGACTATTTTGACAAGCAAATATTGCTAGTCATTCGTATTGGTTTTGCACAATAATCTGAATTGGCTGTTGTTTTCACTCTTAAAAGACAACAATTTTCTTTAGCGTTTCTTATTTCTCGTTCCTTGTAGCCTGTTGTACGACGCAATTGTTAATTTTTCGCTGCTGCTCTGCTGGTACTTTTGTGTGTGGAAAATGTGAATAAAATAGATTGCGCTCGGCGCTTGCCTCTACACACTTCTTTGGCGGTGTGTGAGTCTGCATATATGTGTAAGCGTGTGTGTGTGACTGTGTGCGTGTATATGTGATTGTCGGTGTGCACGTTTGTGCTTGTGTGTCGGTTTTTCTGATTTCTTTTCACACGTTATTTCGTGCTCGTTGGCCAGAGTATGTGCTTCTTCTTTTTGTTGTTCGTATTTTGGTATTCACTAGCAGATGTCTTTTTGAAACCGTTTTTGTTGCAGATCCATGACAGTTTTTAATATATCTTATTAAATAAAAACGGCCCGTATTTACTGTCCTGGCTGTAATGGGAATTACGCGATGTTGCTGTTGCTCATACTAAATCGAATTTAAATGATGGGCTCACAAAATACAACAATGTGAGACAGCTGTTATTTGGACTACAGCTGTTTGGTATGGGCTCTTCTTCTTGTCTGTGCCGCGCACCGTGGTACATACAATGACATAAACCGATCAAAATGTTAATCTAAAATCATACACAAAAGAATTTGGACTGTTTTACGGCCAGAAATATAGAAAAAATTTATATATATGAATTTAAAAAGAACTTGAATTTCGTTTTGTCAAAAAGCTTTTATTTGACTTGTAATTCTAATTTCTAATTTTTTGCCAAACAGTTTCTAGTAGCCAGGTATAATTCGGCCCTTTTTGCTAGCCTTCTTCAATTTCTTGTTTTTCTTGTCCTTGCTGCGCTTATCCAGATTTTCCTGTCGTTTCTTCTGGCGCTTCGCTATATCATGATCTACCTTTTGCTTGCGCTCCTCCCACTTTTTCTTTGCAGCCCGCTTCTCCACCTTTTTCTTCTTTATGGCCTTCTGGAGGAGCTTTGTGTCATCTTTAACTTTCTTGCCCTCAATCTTATCAAATGCCTTTTTCCAAGCAATACTATTTTGCAATTCGGCTGCCTTATCGCTTTGTCCTTGTTCCTTCAGCTCATTTATTTGTTGGCTCGTTTGTTTCAACTCTTTAAGTATTTCCTTTGGATTTTTATGCGATTTCTTGGTCTTGGCTCCTGGAGTGGCAGCAAAATCTATTTTGGAATAAACTATTTTCGACTCCTCGTTAAATACAGGTTTCTGCTGAATGGGCTGAATTTTTGACTTGCTATCTGGCTCTTCCTCTCCATCTTTATTTGATACTGTTTTGATAACTCCATTTTTCAGTTTGTTTTGTTTTATATTCTCGTTTTTCATTATTTTTGCAGAGGATTGGAGCAGCTTTTGTACGCCCTTACTCCGCTTGAGTTTCTTTGCTTCGCGCCTCTTCTGTTGCCGTTCAGTGGTCGGTCGCTTTTTCTGGCGCATTTTGTTCTTTATGGATGCAATGCGTTCATCCACATCCTCCTCCTCCTTCATCTCATGTTCTTTTCCGGCGTTGTGGTTGTTTCTACGCTTGGCTTTAGTTGAATGTTTCAACTTTGCACCTTTTGTCTTTGACGTATTTTCATCATCAGAAAGCAGATACTCCTCAAATGTTTTTTTTTCTACAATGTCGATGTATGAATGTAATGTTTAATAATGCTTGCTTTATATTTACCATCTTTTTTAGAATAAGGCACATTGTGCATTATCAACAGGCGATATACCTGTTTCTCAAACCGTTTTCTTTTTGTGTAATCGTCTTCTACTTTGCACTCTTTTATGCCATGTTCTTTGTTATATTTTTCCCGAATGCTCTCCACAGCGTATTCAGCGTCAAAATATTCCATTGGAAATTTGAGTAAAATTCAATGTTGTCAAAAATAAAAATTAACTTTGACTTCACACGTGCAACTGAGGCTCATTAGAGAGAACATTTGCCAAGTTGTGATAGTTGGCTACTCGATTAGTTAATCGAATAATTTATTGAATTGATTTTTGAATACACTTTTTTGAATATAGTTTTTAATATAGTTATGTTAGAAATTTTTTTTATTTAATAATTAATATTATATTCGTTGTATCCAAATTTATTTAGTTGTGCGATAATATTCAACGTTATCGATAGTTTCAGTCGCTTTGCTTGCAACTTCTCCTATCTGAGTGATAGCCATCGATAGTTGATCGATATTCACATACCTTGACTTTACATCATTTTTCAGTAATTCGTCGGCCGAGAATGACTAATTTTTGCCAGTGTTTAAAAATATTTGTAAATGCCGAGCTAATTTAATACAGTAAAATAAACCACAACAAAGTGCATTTTGTTTTTGTTAGACGTAAAACGGCGGTCAGAAGTGTGTGTGCAGAGCGGCAACAATATGAAGAAACAATTTGCAAAAATTAAAATTGCTGCTGAAAATTTAAGGTAAGTGCAAAGGCCAGGGCGGCAGCCGTGAAGACGCGACGAAATGCCAGACAAAAGCGCAAGCAGTCAGCGGCGGGCGCAGGTGTTGCCTCATAACAACAACAAAAACAACAACAAACACAACAAAAACAAATCAATGCCAAAATAAAGCACAGCGCTTACGTTTTTTATATGCATGTTTCTTACGTCGCTGATGACCTAACGGCATTCGTGTGTAATGGCATTTACATATATGTATTTCTATCGATGCCTCAGTGTCTGTATTTGATTTCGCTTTGTTTTGTTTTGCTTTGTTTCTTCACACAGATCTACAAAATCTGACTGCAAAGATTTTGAGCTAGAGACCATTGAGAAGCAGGTAGACCGATATCGCGATACCATTGAGAAAATTGTGCGCAAATTACCAGCGCTCAGCAACAGCAGTGGCGGCAGCAGCAGCAGCAGCAGTAATGGCACCGTTACCATTGAGGAGCATGACAAGCGCATCAAGAAGAACACGCACTACAAGATTGCCCAAGCGCTGGATGAGTCGGCCAAGGAGTTACCCAAGGATATGCCATTGCACAAGGTTCTAGCAAATTGTGGTGAGTAGCTAACTCCAACTGTGTGTGTGATCATGTGTGTGTTGGGTGTTTTTATCGGCGTCTCGCTGGCTGTGATAAGGGCGACACTTAGAAAAAATTCTAAATTGAAAAAACATTAAAAATGAAACCGCATAAAAAGCGCAAGGTGTGCACAGTTATGTATGTGCTTGCGTGTGTATGTGTATACACATGTAGGCGCATAAATTTCTATGCATATGCTTTGATGACTGTGTGTCAGGGGCTTGCGTGCGCTCTCCAAGTGTGTGTGTGGCCTCGCCTTGTCTGCGCTTGGCCTTGTGGCATTTACATTTCTCAACTCGGCGTTGTCGATTGTTATACCCTATTCCTATTGATAATGTATAGAAGGGTATCTTGCTATTGTATAAATAATTAAGATTGTTAGTGGGTATATGTATCTTCTTGGACTCTCTCTAAGCATAATATCGATTATCAGCATATATAAATTAAGACCAACTTACAGACAGCGTATTTCATTTATCATAGTATAAGATTATATACTAGACTATGTAAGTATACCCGATACAGGGTATATTCTAGTCTTGCTATGGCTAATCTCTCTAAATCACTATTTACTTGCTGTTGTTGTCGCTGCTGCTTAGCGCGTTTTTTAATCATTATAATAATTTTATGATGATTTTTTTTTCGTTGCTTTCTTTTACACAGCCATTCGCTGGATTGGCTGCCCTCTGCTGCGGTTTGCCGCTCTTATTTTTATTTGCTTATCTATTTATACAGTTTTTGTTTTTTGTTTTTTGTTTTTTTTTTCTTTGTTTTGATTGTTATTGTGTTTACGTATTTAGCCCCCGCCTTTACCTCCGCCAGGCAGCACCAGCCTTTTAATGCCCTGTTTTATGGCCCGCTACTTTCAATCAAAACTCCATTGTGCATTTCTTTTAGTGCAAGACAAAGGTCCAGTAAAAGTGATCTGCAATAATTATCTTATGATTATGATAAGTTGAGTAAAGAAGTAAAAGTTGGGCCAAAAAGAAATAAGCTTCCTACATAAATATGAGCATACATATGTATATAAATATATAAATATTCATAATAGCCCCCACACCTTTTTTATACTCATTCACGAAAGTGAATCAGTATATTGGTTTTGTGCAATGTCCGTCTTGCTGTCCGTCCGTCTGTCCGTCTGTCCGTCCGTCCGTCTGTCCGTCTGTCCGTATGAACGCAATCTATTTCGGCGCTATTGAAGCTAGAGACTTGAAATTTGGAGCACATACTCGTGTATATCTCCGATTTATAAAGTGTTAAAATTTTTCCCGATCCGCCCACTAGGGGCGTGGCAAATCGGAAAATGCATTTTCCGATATACCAGAAATCATGTTTGTTGAAGAGCTAGAAAGCTGAAATTTGGTATGTAGGTCTGCGTTGACCACCCAAGATTACGAGCTATGGCGGATATATCTACGCCCATTGGGGGCGTGGCAAATCGGATAAAACTGTATCTCCTAAAGTTGTAAACCTAGAATGCTGAAATTTTGCACGTCAGCTAATGGTATGATTCTATAAAGTCTGAAGATAAATTACAAGTCTACGCCCATTGGGGGAGTGGCAAATCGGACCTGAAGATATAGTGATTTTTTAAATTCTCCTATATTTTGGACACTATTGATGGCAGAGACCTCAAATGTTGTATATATACTCGGACTGATCACCCAAGACCAAAAAGTTTTGTCGGATATATGTCCGCTCACAGGGGGCGTGGCAAACCGCAAAAGTTTATATCTCCTAAAGTATAATAGCTAGAAGCTTCAAATTTGGATAGTTGAGTTACTGGTAGCCTCCTCTATCGATTCCCCAAAACTAATCTTTACGCCTCTTTAGGGGCGTGGCATATCGAAAAATACCCTGTAATTTTCACATTTTTTGAGGGTAAGCATTCAAAATTTGCAGTTAGGGTACCGTTATCCCTTTCTAAAAACTGACCAAAAATGAGGTGTCTACGCCCAGTTGGGGCGTGGCAAATCGGAAAAACCTGTATATTCTACAGTATTAGAGCGAAACTTAACTACTAAATTGTTGATGGGATGTGAATGAGTATTCCGCAGTCGGTAACGCCCGACTGCAACGTTCTTACTTGTTTCGTTTGTTGCTATTCCCTCTCATTCTCTCTCTCTTTCCCCACTTTTTGCTATATTACTCATTATTGACTCCACTTACGCTTTTAGCATTTGAGACACACACACAATCACGCACAGAGGCTCACATAGTCATTTTTAAGCACACCAGATGCGTGCAGCAATTGCAATTTAGTTGAGCGCTGCGTCAGCGTCGACTGCAGCAGCGACGCATCAGCATTTACAGCTTCAAGTTTACCTTGGTTCAACGTTCATTTGATAAGCTCTGTCCACAGCATTATGACATAAAGCGAACAAAATAAAGCCTTTGTCTGGTCTCCATGCAAAAGTAGGTGAACTATTCATGCATACGACTCTCCCGTGCTCTCATCTATCGCTCCGTACGTGTATTGTATATGATTCGTGTTTGGTCAACTCTATATATTTGAATTTACACAAAGTTCACGTACACAAATGCTAACAAGGAAGCATATATGTTAATGCAAATAGTATTTGTGTGCAGTTAACGAGTATACCTAGCCAATCACTTTTTCTTTTGCTCCGTTTGGAGTTTTCTCTTCAATTTTGAAGTTATATAAACCTATTTTACATTTAAAGTGGGTCAAAAGAAGATCATATAATTTTTTGCAAATTGAAAGTTAAAAAATTTGTCATATATGTATTTTATATTAAATTACATATGTATTTATATTATGACCGTTGATGTATTCAAAAATATGTCTCAATGCCTTAGCTTTTTATTATATTATTTTGATTTAAATAGATCTACGATCAATATATAATAATTTTTTGATGATCGCCAAATTCAAAAATATCCAATTTAAAAAAAAAGTTTTTGTTTCTTATTTAACTCAGTTGTTTACTTGGGAGCTATTTTGTATTATTAACTTTACCAATATAACTTAGTTGCAGAATTTTGAATTCCCGAATTAAATTCAAGCGACAGCTATTATTATTCAGCCACCCTCATGAATTTGCCACACTGTACCAAGTGTGCCCTTTTGTAATTTATTTCTTAGGCACGACACGCTTTAATTCCACCTTCTCGTCTCATCGCCTTCGCTTAGCCACGACGAGCATATCTTCAATTTTATACTTCACTTGTGTTGTCGCCATTCCCTCTGCAGCGGGCCCCTATTGTACTGTCGTATTGTGGGCTCCGCTGCCGGCGTCGCACTCAACACAATTATCACAATTTTGCTTACTCAGCTTCGTCAGAGCAGCTATAGTTACGCCCCCGCGCCCGCTTCCACAATGCACGGCCCACAACTTTGAACCGGCAGCTATAATAACAACAACAACACCACCACCAGCAGCCGCAGCAGCAGCAGCAACAACAACAACTTTTGCTACCGTCCTTTCGGCTGCGATAAGGTCTTAAATAAGCATTGACTTCCTCACTTAGACACGCTGAAATACAGACACACACATACACACACAAACGTTTCCTTTACATCATCAAAATAATGTTTTGTATTTATTTAAACTAAAAAAAAACTCTTTCGCAATTTGCAGCCGAGCTGGAGAAGACAATCGCCGAGTGCATCATCGAGAGCGAACTGGAAACGGAGACGAAAGTTGTGCGGCGTTTAAAAAACATCTTAGATAAAGAAATACAAGAGATCTCAACGCTAAAGCGTAATGTGTCGCGCACACTACAGGAATACACCTCACTGAAGCGCAGCCATGAGGTAAGATATCATTCCGCGACCCCAAATTAAGCATCAGACAGCAGATAAATCGTTGACTCTCTGCATAAGAGGTTGTACACAGTAAGAAATGAATGTTGATTTCAATTCTTAAAAATCATTCCTTAAGAATTATAGAAT